CATCTCCTGAGATCATACATAATCTTAAAGACAATAATAAGGTCATAATTACGCCCAACATAATACAGCTATCCTTCGTACACCTGGAAATGCACCAATCCCCAACCCAAATGCTATTACATAAAGTTAACAATACTTAAATGCTGATATGAAGTCAATAAATCTTATGTCACAGATAAAGGAGAAAGGAAATAAAATGAAGATATTTTCTTAGTACAAGTGTATACATGCACAAACATTTTTTTACAAAAGAAGGAAGAAATACTCATGACAACCTCATTTTTGTAGCTGGTCATGTGGACGTAGCTGGTATTGATGACTACCTTCTTCTACTACCCATTCTGTATTCCCTTTGCCTTCAGCAAGCATCTCAGCAGGTCGTGGTTTTTTTCCTGGTGGAGTGACCCAAACCTTCATTCCTGAAGGGTCTGGGTCATTTGTAGTCCTGCCTGGATTGGGCTGTTGTAGTTTCCCATTGACCTTAATCACAGGGCATAGTAATACTAAGAGATGCCCTAATGGATCTCCTGTATTCCACACATATTCTTCCTTTCCTCCATTGTGGAGTAGTAGACTGATTTCATCTTGATAGTCTGGGTCAGTCACCCCAGACAACACTGTAACTCCCTTCTTAGCCTGTTGACTTAAAGGTAGGAGGAGCCCAAAGTGTCCAGGTGGCAATCTTAACTTCCAGTTTAATAAAATTGTTGTGTCTCCTGGTGGCAGCGTTCTTCCCTCTGGAGCTAAAACTTCTAGGCCAGCAGAACATAATGTCGTAGGAAGATGAAACAAAAATTTTGCTAGTAGATCACTAGGGGTGATGGTTAGTGGTGCCACTTCTATTTCCACCCCTTGATTCCTGGACTGGTGAATCCTGATTATGGGAGGAATAGTACCATATATTGGATGCTGATTCAGAGCATATATACATGGCATTCTAGAGGACTTTGCCCCAGCCCTGCAAAGTATTGTCATCTAGTTGGTGTTGTAATTGTGATCTCAAAAGGCATTCCATTGTTCTATCAGTCCAGCTGCTTCAGAAAAATGGGGAACATGGTAAGACTAGTGAATCCCATGAGCATGAGCCCAATGCCATACTTCTTTAGCTGTAAAGTGAGTGCCTTCGTCAGAGGCAATGCTGTGTGGAATACCATGACGGTGGATGAGGCATTCCATGAGTCCATGGATGGTAGTCTTGGCAGAAGCATTGCTTGCAGAATAAGAAAACCCATATCGAGAGTAAGTGTCTATTCCAGTGAGGACAAACCTCTGCTCTTTCCATGATGGAAGAGGTCCAGTATAATAACCTGCCACCAGGTGGCTGGCTGATCACCCCGAGGAATGGTGCCTTATCAAGGGCTCAGTGTTGGTCTCTGCTGCTGGTAAGTTAGGCACTCGGCAGTGGCTGTAGCCAGGTCAGCCTCGGTAAGTGGAAGTCCATGTTGCTGAGCCCATGCATAACCTCCATGCCTGCCACCATGGCCACTTTGTTCATGGGCCCATTGGGTGATGACAGCGGTGGCTGGGGAAAGAGGCTGAGTAGTGTCCACAGAACAGGTCATTCTATCCACTTGATTATTAAACTCTGCTGAAGTCACCCACTGGTGAGCATTCACATGGGATACAAATATTTTCACAGCTTTTGACCACTCGGAGAGGTCCATCCACATACTTCTTCCCCAAATTTCTTTGTCACCAGTTTTTCAATCATGCGTCTTTCAAGTGCCTGACTATCCAGCCAAACCATTGGCTACAGCCTATGAATTAGCATATAATTGCACATCTGGCCATTTATCATTCCATGCAAAGTGTACAACCAGGTGCACTGCTCAAAGTTCTGCCCACTGGGAAGATTTCCCTTCACCACTGTTCTTTAGGGGTATCCTAGAAAGGGGCTGTAGTACCGCAGCTGTCCACTGTCAGGTGATGCCTGCATATGGTGCAGAACCATCTGTGAACCAGGCCCTAGTCTTCTCTTCCTCTGTCAGTTGATCATAAGGAACTCCCCATGAGGCCATTGGAGCAGGTTGGGGGAAAGAAGACAGAGTAGCAAGACTGGAGACCATGGGCATTTGAGCCACTTCCTCATGTAATTTACTTGTGCCTTCAGGACCTGCTTGAGCCTTATCACATATATACCACTTCCATTTGATGATGGAATGCTGCTGTGCACGACTTACTTTATGGCTTGGTGGGTCAGAAAGCACTCAGTTCATGATAGGCAGTTCAGGTTGCATGGTGACTTGATAAACATTCAGTTTCTGCCAAAGACCAGTAACAGGTCAAGAGCTGTCTCTGAAAAGGAAAGTAGTTATCTGCAGAAGATTGCAGGGCCTTGGTCCAAAATCCTAGAGGCCTCTGCTGTGATTCACCTATGGAGGCCTGCCAAATGCTCCAAACAGCATCCCCATCTGCCACTGACACCTCAAACACCATTGAATCTGCTGGGTCATATGGTCCAACTGCCAGAGCAGCTTGCACAGCAGCCTGGACCTGTTGCAGAGCCTTCTCCTATTCTGGAAGCCTTTTGGGTCACTCAATAAATGGGCTGGAGTAACACACCCAAATGAGGAATGTGTTGCCTCCAAAATCCAAAGAGGCATTGTGCTTCTTTCTTGGTTGTAGGAAGGGCCAAATGAAGCAACTTATCCTTTACCTTAGAAGGAATATCTCGACAGGCCCCACAGCACTGGACCCTTAGGAATTTTACTGAGGTAGAAGTTCCCTGAATTTTGATCAGATTTATTTCCCATCCTCTGGCACACAAATCTCTGACCAATATGTCCAGTGTGTTTGCTACTTCTTGTTCACTGGATCTAATCAGCATAATGTGATCAATGTAATGGACCAGTGTGATATCTTGTGGAAACAAAAAGCGATCAAGTTCTCTCCAAATAAGATTATGACTCAAAGCCAGAGAGTTGATATACCCCTGAGGTAGGACAGTAAAGGTATATTGCTGGCCTTGCCAGCTGGAGGCAAATTGCTTCTGGTGGGCCTTATGGACAGGAATGGAGGAAAAGATATTTGCCAAGTAGGTGGTCACATACCAGGTACCACCTGGTGTTAATTTGCTCAAGCAGTGAAACCACATCTGGTATGTGGTTTCTGCTCAAGCAGCTGCAATTGGAGTCACCACTTGGTTAAGCTTATGATAATCCACTGTCATTCTCCAAGATTCAGCTATCTTCTGCAGAGGCCAAATGCAACAGTTGAACAGGGATGTGGTGGGAATCACCACCCCTGTGCCTTTCAAGTCCTCAATGATGGTCCTAATGTCCGTAATCCCTCCAGGAATGTGATGTTGTTTTTCATTTACTATTTTTCTAGGTAGAGGTAGCTCTAATGGCTTCCATTTGTCCTTTCCCACCATAGTAACTCTCGCCCTACCAGTCAGGGACCCAATGTGGGGGTTCTGCCAGCTACTAAGAACATCTATGCCAATTATGCATTCTGGCATTGGGGAAGTGACCACAGGATGAGTCCATGGACCCACTGTAAGTTGGACCTGAGCTAAAGCTCCATGAATTACCTGACCTCCGTAATAAGCCCCTACTTTAACTGGAGGACCACAGTGGTGTTTTGGGTTCCCTGGAATCAATGTCAGCTCAGAGCCAGTATCCAGTAGTCCCTGAAATATCTAATCATTTCCTTTTCCCAGTGCACAGTTACCCTGTAAAAGGCCAGTGGTCTCCTTGGGGAAGGATGGGAGAAAGATTCACTGCATAAATTGTTGGTAATATAGAGGGGGTCCTTCCTAAAGGGAACCTGGCCTCCCCTCATTCAAGGGGTTCTGGGTCTATAAACTGACTCAAGTCTGGAAATTGACTGAGGGGCCATGATTTTCTGTTTTATAATTCAAATCAGTCTTTTGTCCATTCGACCTAGAAGTTTTCTGCTTGTATAAATTAAGTGGGAATGCGATAGGCTTCCTATCAATTTCAGTTCTAGGAACATTGAGATTAATTAGCCAATGCCACAGCTCTACATGAGTCAAACTATTCTGATTGCTGCTTTGTCTCTGCTGTTCATTACAGTAGCTATGCCCACCTTGCCTTTGATGGTAGAGTGCTTCCGCTTGGCCCCTGCCACCTAGGGATTCAATTATTCCCGTTGTATTTAAATTTTGTAGTTGAGTGACTGCAGTTCCCACTGTTAGATCTGACATACAGAGAAGAGCAATTACAGGGCTCTTCGTAGATGCAGGTGCTGCCTTCACAAATTTATTTTGCAAGGCATTGGTCAAAGGCGTATCTTCTGGACCCTCCCAGCTGGGATGAATAGGTCTAAAGTGACTAATCCACTCCACCATCCCAGTCTCCCTAAGCCTTTGGATCCCTTCCTCCAAGGGAGACCAGGCATTTCCAGCTTGCTTACAGTGGGCCATCTTTTAATCCATATTTCAGCTAAGCAAATAAACTATTAGAACCTTTTTTAACTCCCTAAGCTGCAACATTAAATGCAGAGTCCCTACTTCGTGGGCCTAAACCAGTAAGTTCAGCCTGATCCAACTCTGTGTTCCTTCCTCCATTATCTCATAATGGAGAGGCAAGGAGTTTAGTGACTACACATAATACCTTTGACCATATGTGGAAAACCAAGAAACATAAGGAAGCTGTTTGGTTGCTCCTAAGTTTAGTGGACAAAGTGATGAAAGAAAATGATGAACTCAGGGATTTCTATTTCTCCAGATTTCTATTTATATAAATTAGAGGACTCAAATAGTTCTTTCTGAGTGTAGCACACCTCTTCATGGGTCACACTTTCAACCTCACCTCTAGGGGCCTGCCAGGACTTTCATCTAGTTATAGGTCTAGAAGCAAACAAAGGTGTTGAGGGTGGCTTCTGAGGATGACCAACATTATCTTGCCCGGCAGCTGTTTCAGGGCAACTGCCATCACTGTTGCTTCAGGCAGCACAGGTTTGTCTCCTCAGACAAAGGAGGAAAGGCTGACAGCAGCATGGGTCTGGGAGGAGATATTGCCACTGCTGGGGATGGGGAAGCTGTTCCTTCTGGCAAAAAATGTTGATCAGAGTTTACAAACTCAGTGTCCCCAGCTTCACCAGGGTCCTCTCACATGTCCCCATTCCAATTTTCAGGGTCCCATTCTTTTCCAATAAATGCCCTCACTTTAACAATAGACATCTGACAAGTATGTAAATGCATCTTTCATTGCAGGTCAGCCATTCACATGATAAGAGCTTGCGTCTGTTTTTCCACAATTTCAGCTCTTTCTCTACAGGAGATAAGACTCTCACTCAGGGCAACCTTAGCAGATTTGAGGCTCAGTATCTGCTTCTGAAGCTGGGAGACAGAATCCCTGAGTTCATCATTTTCTTTCATCACTTTGTCTACTAAACTTAGGAGCAACCAAACAGCTTCCTTATGTTCCTTGGTTCTCCACATATGGTCAAAGGTATTATGTGTAGTCACTAAACTCCTTGCCTCTCACAGTGGTGAATCGAGAGTGTCAAATGCATTTATTTTGCATAACTTTCTAAACAGTTTCCTCCAAGGACTACCAGTGTTCTCCATACTATTAGAAGTAAAGTCCTTAGCATTTTTGGATCTAATCATATTAAGCAGCCAACTCCAGAAACCACAAAACCTCTAGAACCACTCCTGGTACCCAAATCTGTATTAGTCAGGGTTTGCTTAGAGGGACAGAACTAATAGATATATATGTATATACATAAAGGGGAGTTTATTAAGTATTAATTTACACTATCACAAGGTCTAGGTCTGGCTCTCCTTGCTCCTCAGCTAGGCTGTCTGCAAGCTGAGGAGCAAGGAGAGCCAGTCCAAGTCCCAAAACTGAAGAACTTGGAGTCCAGTGTTCTAGGGAAGGAAGCATTCAGCATGGGAGAAAGATGTACGCTGGAAGGCTAGGCCCATATCTCCTTTTCATGTTTTTCTGCCTCTTTTATATTTGCTGGCAGCTGATTAGATTGTGCCCACCAGATTAAGGGTAGATCTGCCATCCCCAGCCCACTGACTCAAATGTTAGTCTCTTGGCAATACCCTTATAGACACACCCAGGATCAATATTTTGTATCCTTCAATCCAAGCAAGTTGACACTCAGTATTAACCATCCCATCCTCCATAACCATGTAGCCTTTCCTTTTTGCTTATGGGATACAGGGTTCTCTGTATCTCAAGTGGAGAGCAAAGCATGAGAAGCTCGTGCTGTGCTGCCTGATAGAACCCTTGACCTTAATGTTCCATCTCTATCTTTAACTCTGCCCCACTCTCAATAGTAATTTCACGGGCCCACGCTGTGACATTCTCAGATATTCTTGTCCATTTCCTTACTTGGTCAGTGGCAATTCAATTTTCAGTTCAACAAATGTATGATGAATATCTGTTCTGTGTCAGATACTGGAGGCAGGAGTGAGAAGTAGCTTTTACAAAGAAGATATAATTTGAGAGCAGAGGAGAGATGTACACATCACAAAACTAGCTGAGGCTCAAGCAATCCTCCTACCCCAGCCTCCCAAATAGCTACAATTATAGGCATATGCCACTATGCCCAGCTTCTGCCTAAGGGCCTTCTCTGCAGCCTATATAGGGCTGCCAGGAAGTGTAGGGAATCAGTGTTCTCCTCTAGTTTAGCACCCCTCAACTAGGAGGAAAATGCTGTGTCAAAAAAGTTTTAAAAGTGTCTTGGAAGCAGAGTATTTGACTGGAGCATTTATTGAAAAAGGTCATTTTATATTGGGCATGTAAGAGTAGGAAAGAGGTCATTTTGTGTTGGGTCTGTAAGGATGACTAGGAATTGAATGTGTAGGGAAACAGAGGGAATTCTTTGAGGAAAGGCAGACAGACAGGACAGTATAGGCAGTGTGTGGAGGACAGAGGGGATATTGAAGAAGATGAGGCTATAGACTGGGTTCAGGCCAGAACATTTTGGGTCCTTTTCCCATCCCTTATTCTTTCTCAGCGAAATAAGGAAAGCTTTTGGAAAAAATAATTTTGGGGGGCGCTGAGATCAGAGGTGGGTATGCTATGAGGAGCCTTTTCCAGGAAAAGTGGCAGTAGCTGACACTGATTGTATTTGGCCTTTTATTCCCAGTGCAGGGCAAGGAATGGCTGGAGTTAGGAGAAGATGCCCAAAAGGCCTATATAATGGGACTCTTGGACCGGCTGGAGGTGGTCAGTAGGGAACAGCGACTGAAGGTGGCCCGGGCTGTTCTCTACCTGGCCCAAGGTGAGTGACCACCCTTGATAGTTTCAGAGGGGTGGAGCATAGAGAGGGAAGTGGAAGTGGCATTATCAGGACTGAGATGAGGCAGGCTGTGCTGGGAAAGCAAGGTTTCTTGCCTCTCAAGGACAGATCTTGTCATATGCTAGGAGTAATCTGTGCTTATAAGGAAGATTGGATAGTGTTGAGTGCTGTTCTGGATCCCTTGGGATCTACCTTTATCTTACCAGGCATGTCAGAATTTTTTTATAGGGTTCTTCTTTTCCCTACCCTGTACTATAATCATATGTGAATACTAGCAAAGAGGATCAGTGTGGCCAGAGCTGATGATGTACCACCAGCTAATCATGGAGACAAGACATCAACTGTGGCCTGGCCCCAAAACTGAGGAGAAGTAGGAAAGTGTCATAAATACACATGGACCCCTTGCATTGTTTCTCATTGGCATTTTGAAATTTCAAGCCAACATAGCTGCAGAAGTGGATGCTGTGAGTAATTTGGAGATGATCAGAACTAAATAGAGTAATTAGGGAAAGCTTCCCAGAAGAAACCCGTTAGCCAGGTGTTGGAGAGGGAAATGAGATAGCCTAGCTGGAGTAGTGAAAATAAGCCCTTCAATCATACATAATGAGGCTTGTTAATAGAACCAACCAGTTGGGAGCTAAAAGAAAAAATTGAAAAAGAAAAAAATAATAAATGAAGAGGGGAAAGGGTGGACATTAGGTGAAGAGAAGACTAGCAAATGGGACTGTGTCCTCCTGTATCTCTTGGGTCTGGTGCTCTGGCCAACTTCCAACTGCAGTTACCTTCATAGGTTTGCCCAAGAACTTTATAATAGTTTTTTAAAACAAAGTCTATGTTGCCCTGGGTGGTTGAACTCATAGGCTTGAGCTATTCTCCTGCCCCAGCCTCCCAAGTAGCTAGGATTATAGGCATGTGCCACCATGCCCAGCTTCTGCCCAAGGGCCTTCTCTGCAGCCCATACAGGGAAGCCAGGAAGTAAAGGGAATCAGTGTGCTTCTCTAGTTTAGCACCCCTTATCCAATGACTAACAGGGGTTAGTAGATGGATAGCCTGACTATCTCACCCCTCTTGGATAGAAAAACTGTGAGTTGTGTGTTTTATACTGTTTCCAAAGTTATCCCTGAGTGAACTTTTTTGGCTTCCTTTTCTTTCCTGTCTCTACTGATGATTCCTGGGAACAGTTCCCAAATAAGCTACTTACACTGGAATCCTTACTTACCTCAGGATCTGCTTCTGGGAGAACCCACCCTTAAGATGACAAGCCATTGATGAGCACATTGGACCTAACCATGGAGACTACCTCTCCTCTCCCCTGACTCATTCCAGGAAGTTCTTGGGGTCCCTGTCATCCTATGTCAGCCTAATTATTGGGCAGAATAATATAGGAAAATCTGAAGATCATGGTGCAGGGTAGAAAGAACTGGGATACTGCTACCCCTCAACCCCTGTAACAACTGTCTGGTCCTTTAGGTACTTTTGGTGAATGTGATTCAGAGGTCGATGTGCTACACTGGTCCAGGTACAACTGCTTCCTGCTGTATCAGATGGGGACCTTCTCCACCTTCCTGGAGCTACTCCACATGGAAATTGAGTGAGAAGCCTTAGGGGAAGGGCTGACCTAGATAACCCCCATTCCTTAAAGTGGCCTCATCTTCTATGCTGGTTCCCTCACTATAGAGACCCCCTGTGAGGAACTGGGTCTACTCTCACCTCAGCCCAAAGCTCATTGACAGTTAACATCCAGCCATGTTCTCTGATATTCTGTTCTCCCTCCCGGAGGTTGGATACATCTGTAGCTTCTGCTTCACTTACAGCTTTAATCCTGGGCTTTAGGGGCCTATCCTGAGTGGGTTCTCTTTATTCAAGGACTTTCTTAGCTCAGCCTAATTCTGGAATTCAAGAGGGAAACTGTTTTGAGTGCATGACCCAAGAAAGAGAGGAAATCAATTTTTTCCTGTCACTGTGCCCATTTCTTTCCCTCATGGGCTATAGTTGTAGAGGAGGCCTTATTTGCTGCTACTACTACAGTGACCCCTTGTTTTGTCTCATGTCCATCACCCAGGAGTTTGAGATAGGGTACAATCTGCTTATTATTCATCAGGTGTTTCTTAGCATCTGTTTTATGTCCAGCACAGTACTAAGCATAGTGGGGAATGCAAGAGGCATGGATACCACAGATCCTGCCCTTGCCTGTCTTCACTATAGATAAGAGTTCGCTAAGGTGGCAGGGGAATTTTGTCGGCTCCTTTACCGTAGACTAGTTTCACTAGCTAGAGAATGGCAGGCACTCATGTTTGTGTGTGCGATAAGTAAGAGCATAGAGAGAAAAGAGGTCTTATCATTCCATTCTTTTTTTCCTCCCCATGGCAGCAACAGCCAGGCCTGTAGCAGTGCCCTTCGGAAACCAGCTGTCTCCATAGCTGACAGCACAGAGCTCCGGTGAGTAGGGCTGACTATGGGCTTAGAACAGGGTGGATGATTAACACCTGGGTTACCTTTTCCCCAAATCGCAAATGACTCAGACAATTAGGAAGTTGCCCTCTATCTAATCTCACTGGGTTGGGCTCCCACAGAGACCATCCCTGAGGTCTCTGACTGTGGGCTGGGAATTGCCTTGGGAACCTCTTGTGACTCTTCTGTAACCCCAGGGTGCTGCTGAGTGTTATGTACCTAATGGTGGAAAATATTCGCCTGGAGCGAGAGACAGACCCCTGTGGGTGGAGGACAGCCCGGGAGACCTTCCGCACTGAATTAAGTAAGAAATGGCACTTGTGGAAGGTGTGGATGGGGTGCTAAAAGGGAGAAGGGAAGCAGAGCATCTGCCTAGGAGAGGCAGACAGTCCTTTTTCCTTTTGTTTTCTTTTTTAAAATTAATATCCTTTCTTTTAGGACAGAGATACTGCATGGCAGGCATGAGGGCTGGGCTTGATAACCCCTCTGTATCTATGAGCTAGGACCAGTCATGTAACTTTTCTATGCCTTGGTTTCCTTGGTTATAAGTGGGGATAGCCATTTCTCTCCCACTCCATCATGAATCCCACATGAAAAAAATGAGTTGAATCACCTTGAAAACTGAGTTCTATTCAAATGTAAGTTGGTGTTGTCATCTGAGAGGGATAGGATATGAAGGCCGATGGGATTTTAAAAATATATTTATTGATGTGGGAAAGTGGATTACACTGAGTCCTTATCCAGAAAGCAATGTCTTCATTATTGTTACTTCTAGTTTGGCATCTACCCCCAAAGCATCACCCTAAACTCTGGGGCCTGAGGCACTTTAATTCCATGGCCTCCCTTCCTGCCCTTGAGGGGCTTCCTTCTGGGGGCTAAGCCTCCTTCTCAGGACCAAGTACTCTGGAATTCCTCAGGGGAGGTGAGTGGCTTCCTCTGTGTGTCCAGAATCAGGTTTACAGGAACAAGGTTTCAGCTGCCTCATCCTTATTTTCTGACTCCACTCTCTCCTCACCCCTAGGCTTCTTCATGCATAATGAGGAGCCTTTTGCCCTTCTACTCTTCTCCATGGTTACCAAGTTCTGCAGTGGCCTGGCTCCTCACTTCCCCATAAAGAAGGTCCTGCTCCTGCTCTGGAAGGTGGTCATGGTGAGTGATTCTCCCCACTCCCATATTATAAGATCAGCAATGCCCTATGCTGCCTCAGTTTCTTCTAGTCTTATTCCAGGAGGCTTGAGCCAGAGAGCAGAATAGAGCAGCCTTTAGCCAACTGCTAATACAGAGGAACAACAAGGCTGTCCTAGAGACATCAGATATTCTATGTTAGAATAGGTTTCATGTTTCATTTATTTATTTATTTATTTATTTATTTTTTACTTCTTTTCTTTTTTTGTTTTTTGTTTTTTATTTAGGTTTTGTGTTTCTATTGGATGAATACGAGATGTCACTCCATAAACTGGGGGTGTCAGTGGTACCTTCTCTTGATAAAGCCAACGTTTGATGGAAAGAACACTGGTTGAAAGTTGGTAGATCTGATCTTTGCTGATGCTGAGAAACTTTGGGCAACTCTCTGAGCCTCAATTTCTCTAGCTATAAAAGGTTGGGGTGAGTGCCTGCCATCCCCCAAGATAAACAGAGGATTTGTATTATATTTTTTAATAAAAATTTTTTTTTTGTACAGTCAGGTCTCCTTGTGTTGCTCAGGCTGGTCTTGAACTCCTGGTCTCAAGCAATCCTTTTAGCTTGGCTTCCTAAAATGTTGGGATTATAGGCAGGAGGCACTGCGCCTGACCAGGATTTGCTTTTTTTAAAAAAAAAAAAACAGTGAAATTCTTATAAATATGTGGCTGCAGTTTTGCTACTACTTATTCAGCCTCCTTCATCTCTGGCTCCCATCTCCCAAGGCAGGCCTAATAGGAGGAACTGCCTCTTGACTACAGTGGAAATTGAGTGACTCTGGGGCTTTATAGCATCGGGATGTGTTCCTTAAAAAGGGAGATAGTTTCCTATTTTTTTCTTTTTTTGAGGAGTCCCCCAGGAATCTCTTTCCTAACTTCTGGTGATGTTTCCCATACTGGGGCAGTAAATAATGCTTTGTCCTGGTCTCTGAGCTCCTCAGTTGCTGTGGGGATGGTAACCACATTTGCCTCTTCCTGCTTTACTGCTTCCTTATTAAGGAGAAGGTCTGAAGGGACTGGAGGTTGTGGCTCTTTCTTTTCATCCATGTTTCCCTGACCTTGGCTCTCTGTTACTTCCCTCCCTTCCTCTCTCATTGCCCCTTTTCTGTTTCTTCCTTAGTTTACCCTCGGTGGATTTGAGCATCTGCAGACTCTCAAAGTACAGAAGCGGGCAGAATTGGGCCTGCCTCCACTGGCTGAAGACAGTATCCAGGTGGTGAAGAGCATGCGTGCTGCCTCCCCGCCTTCTTACACCCTTGACCTGGGGGAATCTCAGCTGGCACCCCCACCCTCCAAGCTGCGAGGCCGCCGTGGCTCTCGAAGGGTATGGACTGAAGCAGACAGTGGTACTGTGACACTGACTGGCCAAAAATCAAGATTCTAAGCTACTCTGGGTGTGGTAGGAAAAGGCAGTAAATGACCTGGCTCATCCTACCCAGGTTGGTCATAGGGAGACTCTAGAAACCTTAGAGTCTCTACTTTGGCCTCTATCCCCGAGCCCTGATAGCCCGTGGGCTGTTGTGATATAACACTGTGATATCACGTTGTATAGCCGTGTCTTGTTACAGAATCATTGGCCTGGACCTCAGCGCCTGGAGTTTCTTACATTCTGAACAACAATTAAGGGTATAATTCTGGGGATAGGGACCCAGGGCACCTAACAGGGCTCCAAGAAAATCCATTTTTCTGGGATGTAAGGCATTTTACTATTTTGAGATAGCAGGAGGGTTTACTGTCAGGCAGCCACATTCTTAACCAGCCCTGGAACCAAAGGCTTACATTTAAGAGATGACTGGGTAGGGTTCTATGTATATAGCTATGTGACACTTAGTGACATGGATACAATCTAAAATATGTGTCATTATGCAGCTTTATCACTGAGCAAACATCATAGAGTGTACTTACACACCTAGGCATATAGCCTATTGCTCCTAGACTACAAACCTGTACAGAAGGTTACTATTCTGAAAACCATATGCAATTGTAACCCAATGGTGTTTGTGTATTGCAACCTAGAAAATGGCACAGTAAAAATACAGCATTGTAATCTTATGGATCCACAATTATATATGCAGTCCATTGTTGACTGAAGCAGCATTGTGCAGCACATGACTATAGCCTGCTGTCCTGAAAAGGTCAGAATGACAAATTATACTGAGACCCGACTATGTTCTTACAAACTGCCCTGCCTGCCAGTGTATCAACAGGGCTAGACAGTAGTGCTCAGTAATCCAGTCTCCATTATCTGCAATGCAATTTTTTAACCTTTATTTTTGTTTTATAAAGTAATGCTTACTCATTGTAGAAAATTTGGAACAAATATAAAAATGTGATGAAGGGAGAAAAGAAAAATCACCCACAATCTTAACAACCAGAGACAGTCACTGTTAACTTTTTGGCTTATTTCTGTCCAATCTTCTTTTCTTTGTGACAAGATTTAAAATTCCAAACTTGCTTCCCTCTGCCTAGCAGTAAGCTTCTGTCCTCCTCTTCCTCAGTCAGCCAGCTGGTGTATTTTCACAGAAGGCAAACTAATTGAATGTTCACCTAAGCAGAGCATAATTAGGAAGGAAAATGCTGGCAAAAAAAAGGCATCAATGCTTTCTGAAAACTAAGTAACTGTGACTTTGGGATTATCTATGCTCTGTTCTCTGGCTAATAGCATGGTTGCCTGAGAACTTCTTGTCCTGTTCTTGGACCCAGTGGGGACAGTAGGGTTGAGTTATGGAATGGGATATTTTCACAAGGGCTATGTTTAGATTCCATGTTCCCTGAAATCTGGAGGCCTGTGGATATGAGGTGGCCTAAGACAAGGATGCCCAGAGTGAGATCTCTGCATGCCTACCCTCCCTTCTTTCCCCTCCAGCAACTCCTCACTAAGCAGGACAGCCTGGATATCTACAATGAAAGGGATCTCTTCAAGACTGAGGAGCCAGCCGCAGAGGAGGAAGAGGAGTCTGCTGGTGATGGAGAAAGAACCTTGGATGGAGAGTTAGACCTGCTAGAGCAGGACCCTCTGGTGCCACCTCCACCCTCACAGGCACCCCTCTCTGCTGAGCGGGTGGCTTTTCCCAAGGGCCTGCCCTGGGCCCCAAAGGTCAGGTAGGTTTAATAGCATCAGGGTCCCCTATGCTTTGAGGTTTCAGTCACCAAAGGCCCAAGATGGAGTAGTCTATGTATTCAAGACTCATTAAGTTAGTCTGAGTTTGAAATTCTGTTTGTTGATTGCTACCTTTCTCCAGTGCTTCCGTCCTCTGATGTGGAGGGGCAGGAACCCAGAAAGATTCTCTCTCTCAAAGTTTGCTTTTCTCTCCTTTTCTGGGATTGGTCTTTCCATCATCCTCTCAGACAGAAGGACATTGAGCACTTCTTGGAGATGAGCAGGAACAAGTTCATCGGATTCACCTTGGGCCAGTAAGTGACTGAATGGTTGGAACTGGCTATAGAGTGGTTCCTAGGGGGCCAGAGGAGCAGGTAGCTTGTAATGAGGACTGGTGCCTGGTAGTCATAATGCAACCTAGAGCACCCAGGCCGTGGACAACTCCCAGTGACTACTTTGGGTTCTTTCTATGAGCGTTTTTTTCCTTGAGTTTCTTCCACTTTTCCTCAAAGAACTTTTATGTTTTTAGCCAACTGTAGGACTTGGAGCAACAAATCATTTCTCTTTTGGGCCTTAATTGTTTCATGATGATGTTGGATTAGGTGTTTCTATGGGCTCTTCCTGCTCTAATGGGCTACAATTCTGTGAAGAAGAGACATGGTCAGAATAGATCCCATCTTCCCCCATTTCCCCATCCACATGAATCCTTCCCATTGGCCTCTTGAAAATTGAGGCTTTCTTAGTGGTGTTTCAGAGTCAAGGTGTCATTGGGCTATATATCCTTTTAAGTAGGAACCTACAACTCCCACAACCAAGTGAGTACCCAAAAGACTATAAAAATCTCCTGATTTCCAAGAACATTTCTGTGTACCATTATTATTTTTGTGCCCTGAAGTACTGATTGGGGACCTGCAAGCTTGCAGAGGAAGGTCCAGGATACTGGGGGTAGAGGTTGTTGAAAGTAGCATGGTCTGTGTGACTCTAGAGGGGTATTGGGGTATCAGCAGTTCTCTGTACTTTGGAAGCTTATGATCTGGTATGTCTGGCCTTTTACAGGGACACAGATACATTGGTTGGATTACCCAGGCCCATCCATGAGAGTGTGAAGACCCTAAAACAGGTGACCGGGGTGGGCTCGCAGTATTCAGGGATAAGGAGCCATCAAGGCAGGTCAGATTACCAGGCTCCTGGACACTGGGTAGAGCTCTTATACCAAACTCTTTCTGGACCTTCTGCACTTCCCCTGCACTCCTTTTGACCAAATAGGAAAAATTAGGTCTCTCCTTACTTACTCAGTTTCCTGTATTCAGATAGATTTTTAAATTCTCCTTTCTTCCTCTCATTTCTTTTTCCTCTTCCTTCTTCTCTCTTTCTTCTCATTCCTTGCATCTTTTCCTTTCACTTCTCTCTCTCAGTAAGCCCACTAACTTCTAAAGGCCCAGGGTTGAGTAGGAGCCTGCTCTGTATCCAGAGTCATCACTCTGTCATACATGCACACATATCAAAAGTCTCAGGGCAGTGGTCCAGGGGCAGGGGGCCTATTTCTGCTTCCCCTTGCACTTTGTTTGAAGTTAAATGCTTAGGAATTTGCTGCACTTCAGCAAATATAGAAACAGAATAAACAGAAACACTGTGCACAAAGCATTTGTGGTGATGATGCAGAGGTGGTTAAGACTCCTGCCTTGAAAAAGTTCATGTCTATATGGGGTGACAAACCCATTAGCAGAACATTTCCTTGCCTTTGGGGAATTTAAGTAAGAGACTGGTACACATGTGAATGAGGCTCTCAGCCCTTGTTGATATCTCCTTATCTTGTCAGCACAAGTATATCTCCATCGCAGATGTGCAGATCAAGAATGAAGAGGAGCTGGAGAAATGCCCTATGTCTTTGGTGAGCCAAGGAGGTCCTGCACAGGAGGAGGGTAGAAGAAAATCTGTCTGCTGTGCTGTTACAGAGCATGTGTGCATGCATTCATTCAGCATATTAGACTCTCGCTGTGTCCCAGGCAAGACAAGGTGTCCGCTTTCATGATATATTGAAGTTGGGAAGGAAAGATAAAAAATGAAAGTTAAGTAAACCAAACTCTCAGAGAATGGTAGATACAATGAAGAAAATTTAAACAGGATGACATGAAAGAAGCATCAGTAGACTATTTAAGATTGGGCAGTCAGAGTACATAGACCTCTGAGAAGGTGACATTTAAGCCAAGATCTGAGGGACAGGGAGCCAGCCATAGGAGCATCAGGGGAAAGAGCATTCCAGAGAGAACAGCCTTAGTAAGGGGAAAGCAGGCTCAGAGTGTCAGAGGTAATGAAAGAAGGCTGTTGTGGCTGGACCACAGGGCAGAGGGCCTGGATCCTAGAGATGGAGTCAGAGAGGTGGCCTCAGGCCACTTTGCAGAGGACCTGTAAGCAAAGGTAGGGAGCTTGAAGTTGACTCACAGTCAAATAGAAGGAAGCCTTTGGAGATTTTAAGCAGGGGAATGACATGATCTGGTTTATGTCTTTTAAAACATTAGCTTCTATGTAAAGATTGGACCAGAAAAGCATAGAAGAAGCACTCCAGGGAGACTAGCAAGGAAACCCTTGAAATAGTCAAGGTGAGAGATGATGCTGACCTGAATTTGGAGGTACAGCTGACAAGATTTGTAGTGCATTTGGATGTGGATAGAGAGGCAAAGAGAGGAATCAAGAGTAAGTACCACTTGCCAGGATGTGGGGGCAATATCAAGAGTTCTGTTTTGGTCATACTAAGTTTTAGATGCCCCTTAGAATGTGGAGCTGCAGGCAATTGGAAATACAAGTCTAGAAGTCTAGGGAGGGGGCTGGCTTTGAGAAATAAATTTGAGAGTTGCTTGTAACACTTATAGGCAGTGTTAATTAAAGGCCATAGAACTGGCTGAGATAACCCAGAGAGGGAGTAGAGACAAAGCAGAGGATGGAACACAGGACAAAGCCCTGGGGCACACCAGCATGTTGAGTAGGGAGGGATGTGTCAGAAAAGGAGCCAGAAGAGTATGAGAAAGACAGTGAAGTGGCTGGAAATCCAAGAGATTATGATAGCATCATAAAAGCTAAGAAAAGAAAGTCAAGAAAAAAGGAGTGATCTGCTGGGTAAAATGCTACTAATAAGTGGCATGTGGTAAGAACAAAGGTGCCCATTGGATTTGGCAACATGAAGATAGTGACCTTGATAAGAGCAACTCTAATTGAAGTAGTGGGACCAAAAGCCTAACTGGAGTGTGTTGAAGGGAATGTCAAGAAAGGAAGTAGATGATCTAAAAGTTTTGTGAAGAGGAAGAGAGAAAGTAGACGGTAGCTGAAGGAGAATGTGAGGTCAAGGGAAGGATGTTTTATAGATGAGAGATACTAGAGCATTTTTTTGTGTCCTAAAATAAATGATTCAAGGAGGGGATAATTGTAGGACCTAAGCAAATGGATGTGAGATCCTGAGCACCAGTAGGAGATTGGCGTTTGTCAGAAGCACAGGCAGTTCATCCATCATGTCAAGAGGAAGGAAGAAGATTCTTTATAGATTTGGTGTTGAGAAGATGAGTGTGTGCCTGTCTGATTGCTTCTGTTTTCTCCATGAGGAGTGAGGCAGTGTCAGCAACTGTTTAGGGATGATGGGGCAAAGGAATTGGTTTGAGGAGAAGGAAGATGGTATGAAATCAGCCTTGTGGAGAGCAGGAAGGCAAACATGCCAGGATTGCCAGGCTCTGTTGAATGTCAATTTAGGATTTATGTCAATTTAAGCAGCAGATTAATTATGTGGGACAGAAGGAGCCTGGTTATTCTTCCCTGCCTCAGAGTCTCATGGCAGTGACCCCTCCCTTGCCCTGTAATAGAGGGACTGACCTTATGGGAGAAGGGAACTGCATTGGTAAAAGATGACAGTGACCTGGGCAGCCTATTGGGCTGTTGAGGCCCCAGCCTCCCCGTTCTTATAAAAGGCTTAGTTAATGTCATCAATGGAACAGAGATATTTGTATATGGGGGAGCGTGTCAGAAAGGAGAAAGTGATGTAGGGGCCAATGGAGAGGGGAAGAAAATCATTTCTATCCACTTAAAAGCATCTTTGCTAATATTCTTTCCTGTTTCTCCAGGCCATAGGTTACCCAACTTCCTTTTAAACTCTTACTGTTGAGCCACCTACCTCTCCTTCCAGGCTTTTAGAACATTCTAGAGTTCTCAGCCTCAGATTGACACCATGGGAAGTGCTTCTATATGGGGCATCTGTTCCAGTATCCCAGGTCCTAGGAGGTCATCCAGGCCAGCCTGATGGTCCTATTGAAGAGTAAACTAGGACTCAGAGAATGAATGTGACTTATCCAAGGTTGTACAGTGAGTCATTAACACAGCTAGGGTAGGAACCTAGATCTGACTCCCAGCTTAGTGCTCTTTTCAGGTCACCCTTCACAACCAAGAAAATAAAGCCTTTGGTCACCTGGAATGTGGCCTTGGCAAACCATGTATTTCTTGCCATAGGGGGAAGAGGTGGTACCAGAGACGCCATGTGAAATCCTCTACCAGGGAATGCTGTACAGCCTCCCGCAGTATATGGTAAGGAGGTGGCTAGGCCAGAGCTGCCTTTCTCTGCTGCAAGGAACAGACAGCTAAAAACCATTTCAAGCCAATCAATCCAACACTTGAGCTTGTTTTCTGAGCCTTTGCCCATTTGGCAAGGCATTCTCTGACATGAAACTTCTGACTTTCCTCAGTGCTCCTCTGATGGTACTGTTCTCCCTAGTCCTTCTTTGGGAGGGGTGGGGAATAAGTTGAGTTTCTCTACATGATACATTGGGGACCCTCCTTCGAGGTAAGTACTGTAGACCCTTTGAGATCTGCTGTGGTCTGTCATGTCCTAGATAACCTCAGGCTGGGAGTGGGGAAGATGCCAATGGTTTGGGTTAGAGGAAGGAAAAGAGTGGGAGAAGTTGGGCTTATGCCTCTCACCTTATTTCTACACACTTTCCCTCCCACTCTGTTCCTTCCATCTTCCCCTTTGAAAAGAACAGTCTTTTTTTTTGAGGCAGAGTCTCACTTTGTTGCCCAGGCTAGAGTGCAGTGGCACGATCTTGGCTCACTGCAACCTCCACCTCCTGGGTTCAAATGATTCTCCTTCCTCAGCCTCTCAAATAGCTGGGATTACAGTTATGTGACACCATGCCAGCTAATTTTTGTATTTTTAGTAGAGATGGGATTTCGCCATTTTGGCCAGGCTGGTCTTGAACTTCTGACCTCAAGTGATCTGCCTGTCTCAGCCTCTGAAAGCGCTGGGATTACAGGTGTCAGCCACCAGGCCAGGCCCTGGAAAGAACAGTCTTGAAGCAGAACAGCCAATGAGCTCCCTCTGGCTTTCTCTTTATCCTCACAGGCAGGCCTCTCAGGACTGGGCACCTGTTTGGTCTTCTGGATGCTGGAGAGATATGGTCATTGAGGGAAGAACTTAGAGAATGGCTTTAAAACACTTTTCACAGGGTTATTAAGGTGTGGAAGAATCACTGCCTTGTTGAGTGGGTTGGACGGTGGTGGATTTCTTTATTTTCTACTTTACAGATCGCTCTGCTTAAGATTCTGCTGGCTGCAGCTCCCACCTCCAAGGCTAAGACAGATTCTATCAATATCCTGGCAGATGTCCTACCTGAGGAGATGCCGTGAGTGCTTCAATGGGGGCAGCTGCTGGATACTAGCTGCCTTGTCTGCAGGGTCTCTCTAGTCCCCACTCATCTTGTTAATACTTACAGAGATTGTCTCCAAAGAGATCGCCCCCTCTCTGCCCACCTGTACCCCCTTTCCCCTACAGGGCTTTCTGCTTGGCTCTTTTTAGCTCAGAACTCAGGATCTGGAGGGTGATGCCAGTGCCAGCGACTGGCTGCCCAGATATGTGGGTGAGCATTGCCAAGGGATGAACTTGCCAAAAGAGAGAGACAGAAACAAAGAAATCAGTGGAATATTTCTTCAGACAGTCTCATAAGTGGTAACTCTGGAGGTTTCCCTGGCACAGAAGTTCAAGTTTCCTAAGTTCTGGCTCTCATGTGTACATTGTATCAGACCCAAATACCTGGAACCCTACAGGGCTCCCTTTAAGGCCACTCTCTGCGCTAATACCTTCTCTTCCCATTGTAGCATCACTGTTCTCCAGAGCATGAAGCTGGGCATCGACGTGAACAGGCACAAGGAGATTATTGTAAAGAGTATCTCTACCCTGCTTTTGCTACTCCTCAAACACTTCAAACTCAACCATATCTACCAGGTGAGCAGCTAGCAGCTCTTCTCCACAGGTCTTGGATGTTTTCCAGGCCCAGTCTTTCAAAGGAAGGATACGAGGGCTCTTATAACCCTGACGAGCATCTTTCAGCCTTTTCTTTGCCCTCCCTCAGAGAAACTGGCCACCCATTGCATGAGCTTGGAGTAGTGTTATGGAGTAGGAACTGTCCTAGAAAGGTACAGATGTCTGTGTCCCTTGTAAGTTATCCCAGGGTTATGGATAGGAATCTCTAGGTTCTCAAGAATATGCCCAGCCAGTTTTTGAAACAATGCAAGAGAGAGTGCAAACATTTCACACAAATGCGGGGAAAAGTATGTTGACCATACTTTTCTATATGTGAAGCACTTTTCTAACATTTGAGGTATATTCTGAATAAGGCACAGTTCTGGCTCTTTGGGGCCTTGAAATCTTGTAAAGGATATAGATATAAAAGTAACCAATTATAGCAAGAAAAGTGCTCTGATACAGGTAAGCACTGATTGCTATGGAAACACCTAATCCAGCTTGAGGTGGAGAAGAAATGACTTCTAACCTGAGTCCTAAAAAAACAGATGCTAGCCAGGATATGAGAATTGTTAGGGAAGGAGGACAGGAGGCATTTCAAGCAGAAAAGCTAATATGCAAAAGTCCAGAGGGGGAAGAGAGAGAGAGCAAAGTACCTTTAGAAACTAATTAAATGTTGCTGGAGTTCTGCCTGGGGTGGAGAAAGATAAGCATGGCCTGGTGATACGTGAAGCTGAAGGGATCGGCAGGGAGCAGATCATAATCTATATGCTAGCACACAATTACTGAGCACCTATCCTGTGCCCAGCACCCTGTTAAGCTTATTTAGGCCCTCATTCTCTCCACCCTATAAAGTAGTCTTATTTAATACCTCTTTTATAGATGATGAAATCGAAGCTAACAAAAGTTAAGAAGCTGCATTCCCATAAAACATTGTTTGCCATGCTAAGGAGTTTGGACTTGGTTTCATGGCATTGCCAATATATAGGGACAAGATGGGGACAGCAAATGGGTGCTCCTGTCTGTGAGGAGACCACAGGAAGAATAGGAATGCTTCTCATTCTTGCCTAGAGGTTCCACCCCATTTTCCTCCTAAGAAGTCAGAATCAAGCTTCCTGGTAGAAGAGCAGGTCCTCAGAGTACAGAGAGGCTCCTGCAGGGTCTATGTCCATGGCTCTATCAACCAGGGTATTTTTCCACTTTCATACATTCAAAGACATCTTTGGGTATGTTTGGTTGCCCTGGGTGCTCCCACTTTTGCCAGTGTTTGCTGAGTAGCAGCAGGGCTGGGAGGAATAGGGGTAGGTAGGAGATAGTGTTTCTAGTGTAAAGAGAACAGGGAACTGTAGATGTGTGTTTACTTCTGCTTCTCTTGGTGGGAAGCATGTTGATTCATATCTAGACAGGTGGGTGGCTTGATGGGCCTTGGCAGTGTATGTCAGTGAATCCTGACAGGGCCACAGGCACATCTCAAACTAAAAAAAGTTTTCCATCAGTTGATACTGGATATGTATTGGCTGTTTTGTCTGGGGCTTTGGAAAATACCCTGGATTTTATAAATAAATAATCTTACAGGGAGAATATATTGAACAGAAGAGGGAAGTGGTCTTGTCATAAGCTGACTCCCCTGCTCTAATTACATACCCAGGATCATTAGGCAGCTTGGCTTGCCGCTCGGCTACTTGTTGGTGATCAGAGAGCTGAGGATTTAAAACACCACAGTTCTCTGCTTTTTCAACCTCATTTCTATACTGTCCCAGCATACTAGGTTCTGGATCTGGAGATAAACTGTGTTTGACACTCCTTAGTATGCCATGGGTGACAAAAACCCCATGACACTGCTCTTATGGCTACTTGCCCCACTAAGTTATCATGTACACAAACCACACCTGGATTGGAGAGATGTGGAGAATGGAGTCTCCACGTTCTGATATTTAGCCCCTGAAAGACACCTTAGACTTCTCAGTGCAGTATCTGTTGGCTGAAGGGCTCTTGTGCATTCATTCATTAAAATACTTACTAACATTCTTTTCTTCCTCCCCCCATACTCCAAGTAGCCAGTATACTTACTGATATTCTAAGTACTAAGAAGAATATGGTGTGCCAGACAGACTGGAGCTGGAGCGCAGTGGTTCATTTGGTTATTATATGCTGTCCCCATCCTGACTGAGTGATGCCAGCAGTTGCCAGGAGTAAGCTGCAGCTGTCCCTGCTATATCAATCACAGTTGAAACATTATGAGCCAGAGGTTTGGTATGGAAACCAACTCCCTCAGGGAGCCTTCCTTTCCTGTTGGGCTTAGGAACAAATCTCATAGCAATTCTTTCTCTTTATTGGAGTAGGATTTTATTTTCTGGCTTCTTTGTTTTGTGCTTGTGACATATACTACAGATTATCCCCTTCCATGTAGGATGGGCTGGCTGAAGATGATTCTTCCCATTTCCCAGACAGGAAGACTGATAACACAAGTGGATAGTAGATATTCTCAGGAATGGATATTAGATTTGTACTTCTCTTTTTTTCAAACATTCTTCTCCAAATTAGCAGCCCTTTCTGCTTTGATTTTTAATTCAGTTTGAATATGTATCGCAACATTTGGTATTTGCCAACTGCATCCCCTTGATCCTGAAGTTCTTCAATCAAAATATCTTGTCATACATCACTGCCAAAAACAGGTATGGACTCTGGACAGGTTTATTTCAAGGGGCTTTTTTGGGGTGGTTGAGAAAACTACATCATCTCCGAGCCTTTCGGTTTTCCTAATGTCCCTAGTCCCTCCTGTCTTAGAGTTGTTACTGTTAAATTTAATTTTCTTGAAGTGTTAGCTGATAGAGTATATTGTTTGCCTTCTTTGGGGAGGTATTTGTATTTGAATAGTTTTGAACACTGAAAAATGTCATGACTTAAAGAAATGAGGTGGCAATTATGAATTTTTAGCTTTGTGTCAGGCAGATGCAGGGGTTGTTTTTTGTGAAACAACCTGCTTGTCTGGCCAGGCCTTATTTTAGTGTAAATCATAAGTTGGAGCAATTGGAACAGTTATGCTGCTCTGTAAACTGTAATGTGTTATACAAAATTTGTAACTGAAGGTAAATAATAGAATTTACTGAGGTACATCAATTTGTAGTTTAAAAAAATAAGACATTTCACATTCATTATTTTATTTAATCTCCTCAGCAATGCTAAGAGTTGTTATAAGTTTTATCCTCATTTTACCAATTAGGAAACAAATTCAGAGATGTTACTGACTTGATCAAAATTAACATGTTGGTGAGACCCCTTAAGTAAGCATCAGAGACAGGATCAGAACACAGGCTTCTATGTGAATACAAATTGCTTTCCATTCTTCCAGCCAAGCATGGACTTGGGGATTACAGAGCAGATCCTTGTTTCTTAATATTCTACTTTCACAAGAACTGGAAATATGTTAATCAGTACAGTTTACCAGAGGCAAAATTCCTAAAGTAGAAGTAAGAGGGCTAACCTCATACTTGGGGTGACTAGAGATATTGCCACACTAGTCTGTCAATACTACCTGAAATCCCACCATGGAGATGCAGCATACTTACAGGTAGCTTAAAACACACACATACGCTCCAATGGAAACTGAAGTCATGAGACCTGGATTCATGACCTGAATCTGCCACTTACTAGTTATGTAATCTCAAGCAAGACTCTGTTTCTCTGAACCACAGTATTTTCATCTTTAAAATGAGAATACCTCTTCTGACTATAATCATAGAATTTTATAAACATTAGTTAATATTAGTATATGTAAGATTGTTTTAAACACTTTACCTTGGGGGTAAGCATTGGAGGATGAGTTTTTCCCAACTATATGGAGACCTGTGCACTGACCCCTTTAACAATGGCACTTCAGATGTGCTACTTGAGTTACCAGGGAAAATGAAAGTACAGGTCAGACTGTGTCAGGGCCACAACTGCATGCAGGCACCTATGTGTGTCAGTTAACACTCTTGGTTAAAGGTAACCAAAACTAGCTGGGCAAGACTCATACAGAATAGTCACTTTGTCAGAAGGAAATGACATGTGTCATCTTGAGGAACCTAGGACAGCAATGCAGCTCTGGACCTCTGGGTTGGCCTGTAGGGTGGGGAGCCCAGAAAGCCTTCCACTTCTATCTGTAAGACACCAGGCCTCTGTATTTCCACTCCAGTTTCCTCTCTCACGGACAAATTTATCAGTCTGCTTTGTCTGCTTATCAGGCTGCTTGGTGAAATATGTACATATGAGCTAAACATGCCCCACCTCAGAGACTGAATTGATTCTCTAATCCCTGTTCCAGATTCCCTGGGTTAGAGGTTCACTCCTAGATCAACTGTGGCTAGGGGAGTGGTATACAGAAACTGAATGCTCCTTCTGCACCCAAGGACCTAGAATGAGAGGGACAGACAATTCAATAGGTGTCCATTTGGTTCAGTTTGGAGTTAGAAGAGTGGAGCAACAGACTACACCTTTTGCTAGGTTGGCCTGAACAAGATGGTTCTCTTATGTCCCACCTTTAAGTTTTACTTCTGAATGATCTCTGAGAACTTGGAGCACTCATAGCTCATTATTGCAGAATTTTCTTATTGCTCTTACAATTTAGATATTCTTGATACTTGCAAATTAATTTTATGCTCCCTTAGGCTAGATTTCAGTTCACTAAGAGAATGGAACAAATTCATCTTTGATTTCCCACCCCCATTTCCTGGTTGCCAGCACCTGCTTTGCCACAGGGCTTCATCAGTGGGAGGTGGGTGGATAGGTGAATGAGCCAGCCAAGAATGTTCATCCTAATGGAGCGGTATAGAACTGGTAACCCTGGGAAAATCTAATAGAGTGAATGAAGATGATGAACAACATTACAGGTAGTTTCACAGTATCCTCTCCCAAGCTGACACTTCTCTCCTACCCTGGTCCCCCAGGTTATCTTTGTTTGAATTTCTTGGACAAAGGTAAACATTTCTGGCCAAATAAACTGTTGCCTTTTACTTGTGTAGCGATTCTGACTTTTAAAATGTAGAGGCAGGTTCGAGGAACCCCATACTAGTCTTTATAGCCACTGCTTTACCAACATCCTTTATCGATTTCCAACTGTACTAGTTCAGATAGATTGGTGTTCCAAACCAAATGGAATGTCAGAACCAGAAGGAGTATTAGAGATTAGCTAGTCCAGATTCTGTATTGTGTCCATGAAGAAGGGAGAAGAGGAAAGAGAGAGCTGTCATTTATTTTGTTACTATGTCCTTGTCATAATGCAGTGCCTTATTTCCCCTCCTGACTCATGCCTGCTTCCCTGGACTCACCACAGAGCTTGTAGCATGCAGTTCCCCACTGTCAGTTATTACCATTCTTGAGTTACTAGATAAGCCGTACTATAGGAAGCTGCCCCTGTCTCAAGCTTCCTTTAGGAGTGGCTTCTGTAATCATTCCCCAGAGCTCCCAGCTTTCCGAAAGACCTGGTGAGAAACAGGAGGATCATTTCATCCTCACATCCTCAGATTGTTATCAAGTGGGATGGGTTTGGGTAGGGTCTGTGAGAGCACAGTTATATTCACACATACAGTTAAATGCAGAAACACAAATGCACTCAAGTTTACATATCCCTTTAAAGAAGCAAGGAGCGCTAAGAAAAGAGGTTCTCTCTCTGCTTTTTTTTGCATCTGCCAGCTGGGGGCCAGCCTCAAAGAACTCATTGGTTTCTCTCATGACAGGAAAGGAGACTGGAGCCAGAGTTGCCTGACACCAGAGCCCTCAGTTTCAGCTGAGGTCACTAAGCAATTTGGGAAATGGATAGGGACTGCTGGAGAGAAATAACTCCTGCCCTTTTCTGATACAGCCGACTCCTGCTGTTGCCATTTACCTAAAGCCTGTCCTTATCTCTGCATCTTGCAGCATCTCAGTCTTGGATTACCCATGCTGTACCATCCAGGATTTGCCGGAGCTTACTACCGAAAGTCTGGTAAGCAGATGGGGATTTGGTAGCCTTTGAAACTGCTAGGTGGCAGAGGTTGGCATTTGCTCTTTCATTTCTTCTCCAACCCCTTAATGCCCTGGTTTGAGAGTCTCAGATCAATGAAGGTATATTGGCCAGAGCGCACACAGGTGCAGCAGGGGTTTAGAGTTGCTGACCCAGTTGAGAAAGATGTGGAAAAGCTTAGCATAGCATTTTTCAGAGAAGAGGAAAGAGCCAGTGAAAAACACTGAGGAGAGGGAATTTAGAAAGATAGTAGGACTGAAATTGAGTGTGAATATCTATGCTAATAGATATTCTTTAATGCAGGAGAATCTCTCCTGGTCTAGCACAAATAATTACCTGTCCTCTTTCTGCTGTGCTATAGGCAGTTCACTTCTTATTTCCATATAAGTTATAAAACCTAGCAATGTGTACTTGAGAAAACGCCTTGTCTAAGTCTCTCAGAGGCACAAATCTATATTGCCACAAAAGGATAGCCCAGAAAGTTTCTCACCTTGAAAACAGTTCTAGGCAAATCAGAAAAGTCACTGAAAGTTATTCTGAATTCCATGAAACTGACCAACAGCCATACTGAAGATGAGGTATCTACTTCATCATGTATTGCCACAGCTCCTTAGATATGCCACAATCCATACCTCCAGGCTGTTGCATTGTAATTATGCATTTGGGTCTGTTTCTAAATTTGACTGTAGAATCCTTGAAGGAAGAGATAGCATCATCATTTTGATATCCTTAGAGTCTAGCACCTTGTCTGGTACATTGAAGAGCTCAATAAATGTTAAATGATTGAATCATGACACACACCAGTGGGTACTACGACCCTTTGTCCTCCAGTTGTAATTCCTGCAAAATGTTGAGTCAGAAAAGTATATTATGCAAAAAAGAATGATAACCTTTGTGGTACAGGTTTTATAGAACCATAGGATTCTTGGCTGGAGGGAACTTAAGAGCCATTTGATCCAACCCCTTTATTTCAAAAGTAAGAAACCTGAGGGCCCAGTGAATGAAGTGACTTGTCATGGTTTACTCCTCATAGGTGACACAGCCTGAAGTAGACATGAGTCAAAAGACCCATATCCTGAGACACCAACGTAGCACTCTTTTTTACCACTGGGATAGAGAGATTCCCTTCTTATTTAGATGTGACCTCAGCAGCCAAAGAAGTTGGAGGCTTTTATTTCTACAGAGAAGTAATAAATTGTCTAACCCTCTTTATGTACATGATGCTATTCAGTCTTTTTTAAAATTTTTATTTAAAAAATTATTTTAGACCAGGCACCGTGGCTTACGCCTATAATCCCAGCACTTTGGGAGACCGAGGAGGGTGGATCATCTGAGGTCAGGAGTTCAAAACCAGCCTAACATGGTGAAACCCCGTCTCTACTAAATACAAAAAATTAGCTGGGCATGGCGGTGCATGACTGTAATCCCAGCTACTTGGGACGCTGAGGCAGGAGAATTGCTTGAACCTGGGAGGCAGAGGTTGCAGTGAGCAAAGATCATGCCATTGTACTCCAGCCTGAGCAACAGGAGTGAAACTTAGTCTAAAAAAAAAAAAAAAAAATTTTTTTTTCCCCACACTACACAGATGTAGCTATTCAATCTTTGAAACAACTCTGTGACGTTGGTATTACTATTTTATAGATGGAGAAGTTAAATAGCTACCAAGATCTTTCAGTTGAAAGGGGCAGTCAGGGTAGAGACATGCATCCCTGCCGTTCAGAGTTGAAATGAAGAATACATTTTCCACAGAAACAGTGGTACACAATAGCATTAAAATTCTGCTATTAGTAGGGTATTTCAGAAGATAAAGTCAACTTTTATGACCTGAATTTATTTCTTTATATAATATGTTCTCTATTTTCAATTCCAACCCCATTGGCTCATACATAGGAATTGACAGGAACCACATTTTCACATCTTTCCCAATTGATCTTTGGGATATGTGCATAAAATTATTACAAAGTGAACATAGTAAGTTATGTTTTCTAAGAAGACTTTATTATGATCCCAGAATGAAAGTATGTATTTATTCTTCCTAAAAAATAGTCATGCTAGGTAATTTGCTTCTTTCTGTGAAGCAATAGTGGCACCTGGTGGTTTCATTTAGTAACACAGAGTTTTTTTTTTTTTTTTGCTTGAATTTTGAATGTAAGTGCTTCTCTGAGCCCAGTCATGGACTAGAGTAACTAGTGAGTCTATTCCACTGAGTTATATCTAAACTGGTGACTTCTATGCTCAGAAAAAGACTAATGTTCATATGAGTAAGATTTATCTTTTTTTTTCAGACTTAACAAATTGCAAGCACAGAAAATGTACTGGCTATTTGAATGTATAAGCTTTTCTTCTTTTCTTTTATTTCTTTTTTTTTTTTTGGAACAGAATCTTGTTCTGTCACCCAGGCTGGAGTGCCTTGGTGCAATCTCAGCTCACTGTAACCTCCGCCTCCTGAGTCCAAGTGATTTTCCTGCCTCAGCCTCCCCAGTAGAAGGGACTACAGGCACATCCCGCCATGCCTGGCTAATTTTTGTATTTTTAGTAGAGATGGGGTTTCACCATGCTGGCCAGACTGGTTTCAAACTCCTGCTCTCAGGTGATCCACCCTCCTCAGCCTCCCAAAGTGCTGGGATTATAGGCGTGAGCTATCACATCTAGCTATAGGATTTTCTTTAAGTAACTTTTGAAGTTTTTTTCCTAATACTAAAATCAATAATATATATATTGCAGAATGTTGGAGAAACAGAAAAGGATGAGGAAGAAAAGTACTCATGCCACCTACAGATAGCCACTGTTACAGGCATACACCATTTACACCCAGCTAATTTTTTTATTTCTAGCAGAGGTGGGGTTTCACCATGTTGGCCAAGCTGGTCTTGAACTCCTGGCCTCAAATGATCCACCCACCTGGGCCTCTCAAAGTGCTGGGATTACAGGCATGAGCCACTGTGCCCGGCCTGGGCTGAGGTAGTTTTAATTTATATTTTTTCAGTTTTCTGAATTTGAACTGAATTCCATTCAGCCTTATTTGAAACTCTAAGCAGCATGATGAACATGAAATAAAGGTAGAGCTAATGGCATATTAATTTCTGAAGTCTTCCCATTTTGTCAAAATAATTAGCTTTAGATACGCCATCTCACCAATATATTGAATAGTTTCCCCACCTACCTGGTACAGGAAGGCTACAAATTTGTGGATCTCCAAATGTCTATATTCATATTCTGTCCACTAAGCTAGGAAAAAATTAAAATAAATTCCAAACTTAAATGAAAGATGGTGAACATATGATTATGTGGAAGTTAAGTGTGGTCTTTGAAAGGAGGTTGCTGGAGAAAGGGAGTGGATGTGGGCTCAGCATGTATTTTGCAATGCTTGGCACCTGAATGGTTGCTGAGACTGGTGGTATGAAATGTAGGCTATGCAGGGTAATGCTTTGGGGGATGGAAAATATTACATCTTTTATATATATTATATTGATATATTTGTTCTGTACTTATATGTATATTCTACAATGTTATTTTAAAACTATGCATTTATGAGTAAACATACATGCATTTCAGAGATACACTGTAAAAATACCATAAGTTATATATCCATTTTCCAGGAAGTATTTATGCAAAGGAAGGACCATAGATAAAATTTTTTTAGCATGTCAATTTTCCTGTTGGTCACTATTTCTATAATGGGTTCTTGGGGAGAGTAGAATCTCCAGGATGATTTTTCAAACTCACATACCCAGATGTGTTAGTGCCCCTTACTGGGGCACTTGTAGTTTGTTAAACTTTCCCAAACCATCTTGAAATTTTCTTTTCTCCTTCCTCCTTATCCACTCATTTCACTGAGAACCTTTATTCTCTTTTAAGCTATCTAGATCTAGGTCTTTGATCTAGCAGCAATTCATCACAAACCTATATGATAAGAGAATTATTCTATAATGATATAGGTAAAGAAAATGGAAATTGAAAAAAAATGCTGACAATTGGCTAATAAGGTGGGTGATGCCAGATGCAACACTGCTGGGCCTACTGCAGGAGCAAGAAAGAGGCCATGCATTCCATCTCAAGGCATCTGTGACCCCGTGGAATAGACACCATGAGCAAAGCTCACCCTCCCGAGTTGAAAAAGTTTATGGACAAGAAGTTATCATTGAAATTAAATGGTGGCAGACATGTCCAAGGAATATCATGGGATTTGATCCCTTTATGAATCTTGTGATAGATGAGTGTGTGGAGATGGCAACCAGTGGGCCACAGAGCAATATTGGAATGGTGATAATATGAGGAAATAGTATTATCATGCTAGAAGCCTTGGAATGAGTATAAATAATAGCTGTTCAGCAGAGAAATCCACATCCCCTCTCCAAAGAGCCTGTTTTACTATGATGTAAAAATTAGGCCATATACATTTTTATTTCAGACTTTTTATATTAAAAACTTTTTGTTAGATAAACTTTTATAATAGTCAAAAAAAGAAAATCTGAAATAAAAATAGGATTTCATTTTCAATTATGTGAGCCATAATAAAGAAATGAAGCAAAAGAATCATTTATCAAGTAATAGCTATTACCATGATTTTGAAATCCATTAAGTATTAAGACCTAGCTTTTTTTTTTTTTTTTTTTTTTTTTTTGTCTGTCACCCAGGCTAGAGTGCAGTGGTGTGATCTTGGCTCACTGCAAACCCACTCCTCCAGGTTCAAGTGATCCTTCCCCGTCACCCTCCCGAGTAGCTGTGACTAGAGTCACATGTCACCATGCCTGGCTAATTTGTTATATTTTTTGTAGAGACAAGGTCTTACTATATTGCCCAGGCAAGTTTTTAATTTTTTGTAGAAACAAAGTGTCACTATGTTGCCCAGGCTGGTTTAAAACCCATGGTTTCAAGCAGTCTTCCTGCCTTGGCCTCCCAAAGTGCTGGGATTACAGGTGTGAGCCACCACGCCTGGCCAGCATAAGTTTTTGTAATAGTTTCAAATAAATGCAGGGCTAACATGGCATGGAAAGCCTGAAGCACAAAGTAGAGAAATAGATTAAACCTGGCTTTGCCACTTATAAGGAATCTTGAGCAGGTTTCCTGTAGACTATAGAGGTTTCATCTATAAAGGAAGGAAGGTGGTAGGTCATTAGATAAGCATCCAACTTTCCTTGCACTATAAAATTCCCCTAGATTCATTATAAAATCACCAAGTTAATATTAATAATTTTGATTTATCAGTGCAGAGCTCCTTTGTCACATAGGGACTTCAGAGGAGGTTTGAGATATAGTAGTAGGTCTCACACTTAGTAGCCCTTCTTTAAAGGTTCAATCTGATCGTGGGCTGACTAGATTCAGTCAAATGCTCCACTTTAAAGCAGAAAACCTGCTTTAAAACCTGCACTGTTTTTTTGTTCTTGCTTTTCCTGGAAACGATCATTTTCTTCTGGTTTGAAGTACAAATTATAGCAGGACCCAAGAACCAGCTTTTCCACCATTGAATCTTCAAGAAGCTCGGAAAGCAGGGGATCCAACCAAATTTTCTCTGGATTGTCTTCTGTTTGCAGTATTCCAGAAGTGCAGCTAGAAGGTGAACAGTAAACAAAGAGTCTTCAAATTGACTGACTACCAGAAATTGGGTGCTTATTATGTGACCTTGGGCAAGCCCCCCTTCCCTGTTCTGGGCCCCCGTTTTTGTTTCTGTTGATGACAGAATTGGGACTAGAACAACTACGTTCCTTCTGGTGCTCACATTCTAATCAATATGATTTCCTCAGTCCAAAAGGAAGAAATGCTCCATTCTACCCTGTCATCTGAATTGGCATAGCCTACATTTAGTTTGGCTTGGCTCACTCAGTTGGCTTATGGATGGATCTTTGAGAACAAACCCATCATAGTGCCTTGGAGATACTCTGAAAGGGTAGGATGTAGTCCTTGAACTGAATCTTTAGACCTAAGGCATACGGCAAACAAATATTTGTTAGAGTAGGTCGTGGGTATATGTTTTCTTTTTTAACTTTAGTTGATACAAAGGAAGTGAAGGTCTTGCTTTGGCTAGTGTGAAGTACCAGGAACAAGAGAATGTGACTGTGTGCTACTGTTCACAAATTACATCTCCTCATAGAGGTTTACATCTTACTTAATGTGCTGGGTCTTGCGGAAAAAAAAAAATACAGAAAGGTGACTTAAATGAACATAAATATGAAGAAAAACCCCTCAAGTTTGGCAAAACAGGTACCTGTGGAACTGAAGGCCTGCTGGGAAAAACAGTCATCTACTGGGTTGGAACAAGGCACTGCTGGAGCAATGCTTTGGGTAGAGCGTGCTGCAAGCAAGGGAGACAGAACAAGCTAGGGTTTGGTAGCTGTCCTGAGAGAGCCACTGACCAGTGTGTGTGCTTTCAGTGCCAGCTGCTGGCAGCATCTGATGCGAGGAGCGGGCCAGTTACAGTTGTCTGGGGAAGCAATATCAGAAGGAAAAGAGAGTTGATATGTGCCTATAGTCCCAGCTATTTGGGGAGCTGAAGTGGGAGGATGATGAGTTTGAGCCCAGCCTGGGCAAAATAGACTCAGCTGGTTGCGGTGGCTCATGCCTGTAATCCCAGCACTTTGGAAGACCAAGGCATGTGGATCACCTGAGGTCAGGAGTTCAAGACCAGCCTGGCAAACATGGTGAAACCCTGTCTCTACCAAAAATAAAAAATTAGCCGGGAGTGGTAGCATGTTCCTGTAATCCCAGCTACTCGGGAGACTGAGGCAGGAGAATTGCTTGAACCGGGAGGCAGAGGTTGCAGTGCACTGAGATAGTGCCACAGCACTATTCCAGCTTGGGTCACAGAGCAAAACTGTCTCAANGTGGTGGCTCATGCCTGTAATCCCAGCACTTTGGGAGGCCAAGGCAGACGGATCACCTGAGGTCAGGAGTTCGAGACCAGCCTGACCAACATGGAGAAACCCCATCTCTACTAAAAACACAAAGTTAGCTGGGCATGGTGACATGTGCCTGCAATCCCAGCTACTCGGAGGCTAAGACAGGAGAATCGCTTGAACAAGAGAGGCGGAAGTTGCGGTGAGCCAAGATCGTGCCATGCCTAGGCAACAAGAGTGAAACTCTGTAAAAATAAAAAAAGCGAGACCCTGTCTCGAAAAACAAAAAAAGAAAGAACGAGAAAAGGAGAGCAAGGCCATGGGCAGCTGAGACTATCTTCAAAGAGGGAAATTGGGTTCCTTTCCTGGAATTCTTGAGACTGAATCCTAAGGAAAGGCAGTCACAAACAGCTTACCCTCACTCAAAACTTCACTTTTAAAACTTTACTTGGTGGGGGCACAGTGGCTCACACCTGTAATCCCAGCACTTTGGGAGGCCAAGGTAGGTGGATCACTTGAGGCCAGGAGTTCGAGACCAGCCTGGCCAATATAGTGAAATCCCATCTCTCCTGAAAATACAAAAATTAGCTGGGTGGTGGCACATGCCTGTAATCCCAACTACTCAGGAGGCTGAAGCACAAGAATCGCTTGAACCCAAGAGGCAGAGGTTGCAGCGAGCCGAGATCGTGCCACTGCACTCCAGCCTGGGTGACAGAACTAGACTCCATCTAAAAATAAAAAATTGAAAGACTGGCAATAACCTAAATGCCCACTAATACAGAACCAAATGGTTAAATAAATTATGGTATATACTTGGAATACAATATTAGGTAACCATTAGAAAGAATGAGGCAGTTTTTTTCAGCTGGAGAAAATCACAGAATTAGAATGCTCAGAGCTGAAATGATCTTAAAGATTAGCTAGTTCAACCTCCTACAGGAAAGAAGGAAAATGATTTACCTAAGATCATGCAGTCAGGGATGAGACCATAATCCAAGTGTTCTGGTATCTATTCCAATGCTGCTTCTACAAGGGTATGCCTTCACTCCCATAGTATTCTTTGAGGTACTGAGGAATACAAGGCTTTTTATGCCTCTACCATATTGAAAATCAGGATAAAGGAAGCTCATAGTAGAAAGATACTTACCTATCCCATATGTTTTGTGTTTCCCACGCATCTTAAAAATTTAAGTCCGTCTGTATTAACCATACAAGATATAATGCCTGTAGAACTTGGTCTATTTGGGGCAAGCCAGACTAGCTGATGCACTACAGTAGAAAGTCCCATAAAAGTTTTCCTCAGAAGCAGACATATGGTTGTCCTGGGACAATATTGAACTTTATTATAGGATGGAGAATATTATTTTACAAATAATATATATATATAAATATATATTTTGAGATGGGGTTTCTCTCTTGTTGCCCAGGCTGGAGTACAGTGGCGTGATCTCAGCTCACTGCAACCTCCACCTCCCCAGCTCAAGTGATTCTCTTGCCTCAGCCTCTCTAGTAGCTGGAACTACAGGCACCCGCCACCATGCCTGGCTAATTTTTGTATTTTTAGTAGAGATGGGTTTCACCAAGTTGGCCAGTCTGGTCTCGAACTCCTGACCTCAGGTAATCTACCCACCTCAGCCTCCCAAAGTGCCGGGATTACCAGTGTAAGCCACTGTGCCCGGCCTATAAATAAAATCTCTAAGTAAAAAATTTCCCTGAAACTTTTTGGTTCTCTGTATTAGGTATTAGGAAAGCCTAATATCCTCAAAAATTTTGGATGTTCATTCCACATTAGATATACGCCTATCTTGCTTCAAATTAATTTGAGGGAGGAGGAGGTAATTTTCCATTCACCAGACAGTAGCTCACTTCTACATGTCGTCTACTTCTACATTCTCCTGTCACATTGTAGATGTGAGGAATTTCCAAGATGTTAGTTTGGCTGTCATGTGTGCTCATTGATTTATATAGCTTCTGACACCAGTATGTATTTGCAAGCCCCCAAATCACATAAGGACTCATATTTTTATTTCTGAAAAATGTTTCTATGAGTAGATACCTGCTTTTAATCTGACATCTATCTGTTGTCTCTGGTTAGGTGTTCACAGACTATCAAGAAATATATAAGAAAAGTACCTGGTTAGAATAAACCATCTGCCAATTTTTCGTTCCATTCTGAAGAATTTAGTATCTGATCTGAGTCATGGCACCAAAAAAAAAAAAAAAAGAATTAAGTATCTGATTGTAATATGGTTTGATAAAGGAGGGTGGAGGCTGACAAAAAAAAAATTCAACTATAATAGATATCAGATCCATCCAACATAGTTTAAAATCTACCAGAATTAGACCTAATCCTAACAATTACCAGCATAGTTTATATAAGTGCAGAGTTCCTGAATATGGGAATAAAATTCTCTCATTTGTTTTCTGATCCCAGAGTACTAAGCTACATAAGAAAGCTTTCTTGAACCAGGTTGCTGTGTTCATGTATCATCTTTCTTTCTTCTTCTTCTTCTTTTTTTTTTTTTTTTTTT